GCACACAGCAATAATAATATTACAGTATATTCTGTGAAGTGCTTTGAGACGTCTTGAAGATGTGATAAGGTGGTATATCAAATGTAAGGATTATTATTATTATTAACGTGAAATGTGGCAGCCAATCGTGCACAGCAGCGTCCCACAAACAGTGACCATTGAAGTGACCAATTTACTATTTATTTATTTTTTGTTGAGGGATTGTTATCAGCTGCGTGGAGTAAGGAAACTTGCCCAGGGTTTCGCGCAGCCGGGAATCGAACCCAAGTCTCTCGCTTGCGAGGCGAGCGTTCTAACCACTGAGCTACAGGACTCCTACAATATCCCACAAACAGCCATGGAGTGAGTGATCATTTTTTTTTATTTTGGGGGTTATTGGCCAGGACACCGGGAGAGAAAAACTCCCTTCTTTTTTTGAATAAGAGCATGTGTGTGTGTGTGTGTGTGTGTGTGTTGGGGAGAGTGGGGGGGGGGGTTGAAGGACAGTCGAGAACCAGACAAGACACTGCTTTTTTGGGGGGGTCGGCTGGGTATCTGACGCACGCGGAAAGCCATCACCATGCTTAAGAGTATCCAAACCAAACACGTTAATAAATAACCCTTGCATTTGATATAGCGCCTTATCGACGCCTCAAAAGCGCAGAACGTTACTGTAAAGCGAACAGACCGTATATAGCATGCGGTGCGTAACGCGACGGCCAAATTGCGCACAGCGGCGAGCCCTCGCACGGCGGCGGATCGAAATGAGTGAACCGATGACGAGGACGATCATTCGTTTCCCCGTGCCCTCCCCGCCGAGGCGTGGGAACTCCAGAGGCGTTTATTATAATCAGAAATAATTATCATCATCAGAATAATAAGTGATTTAGTATAATTACAATAATGATGATGATTATAACAATTACATTTATAACTTATTGAAATAATAATAACTCTCGCATTTTGACGCGGCGCCTTTGAGGCGTCTCCGAGCGCTTCGTGGAATATACTGTAAAGTGACTTGACCGCATATTTTTTTGGGGGTGTGGTGTGGGGGGGTTGTGGTGTGGGGGTGTGTGTGGTGTGGGTGTATGGTGTGGGGGCTGGTGGTGTGGGTGTGGGGAGGGTGGTGTGGTGTGTGGGGGGTGTGTGGTGTGGGGGGTGGTGTGGTGTGGGGGTGGTGTGGTGTGTGGTGTGTGGGTGTGGGGGGTGGTGTGGTGTGGGGGTGGTGGTGTGTGGGGGGTGTGTGGTGTGGGGGGTGGTGTGGTGGTGTGGGTGTGGGGGGGTGGTGTGATGTGGGTGTATGGTGTGGGGTGTGGGGGTGTGTGTGGTGGGGGTGGTGTGGGGGGTGGTGTGGTGTGGGGGTGGTGTGGTGTGTGGGTGTGGGGGGTGGTGTGGTGTGGGGGTGGTGGTGTGGTGTGGTGTGTGGGGGGTGTGTGGTGTGGGGGGTGGTGTGGTGGTGTGGGTGTGGGGGTGGTGTGGTGTGGGATGTGGGGGGGTGTGTGTGGGGGGTGGTGTGGTGTGGGTGTATGGTGTGGTGGTGTGGGTGTGTGGTGTGGGGGGTGGTGGTGTGGTGTGGGGGTGTGAGTGGTGTGGGTGTATGGTGTGGGGGGTGGTGGTGTGGTGTGTGGGGGTGTGTGGTGTGGGGGGTGGTGTGGTGTGGGGGTGTGAGTGGTGTGGGTGTATGGTGTGGGGGGTGGTGGTGTGGGTGTGGGGGTGGTGTGGTGTGGGTGTATGGTGTGGTGGTGTGGGTGTGTGGTGTGGTGGTGTGGTGTGGGTGTGGGGGGTGGTGTGTGGTGGTGTGGGTGTGGGGGGTGGTGTGGTGTGGGTGTATGGTGTGGGGGGTGGTGGTGTGGGTGTGGGGGTGGTGTGGTGTGGGGGGTGGTGTGGTGTGGGGGGTGGTGTGGTGTGGGTGTATGGTGTGTGTGTGGGGGGTGGTGTGGGTGTATGGTGTGGGGTGGTGTGTGTGTGGGGGGTGGTGGTGTGGGTGTGGGGAGGGTGGTGTGGGTGTGGGGGGTGGTGTGGTGTGTGGGTGTGGGGGGTGGTGTGGTGTGGGGTGGTGGTGTGGTGTGGTGTGTGGGGGGTGTGTGGTGTGGGGGTGGTGTGGTGGTGTGGGTGTGGGGGTGGTGTGGTGTGGGATGTGGGGGGTGTGTGTGTGGGGGTGGTGTGGTGTGGGTGTATGGTGTGGTGGTGTGGGTGTGTGGTGTGGGGGGTGGTGGTGTGGTGTGGGGGTGTGAGTGGTGTGGGTGTATGGTGTGGGGGGTGGTGGTGTGGTGTGTGGGGGGTGTGTGGTGTGGGGGTGGTGTGGTGTGGGGGTGTGAGTGGTGTGGGTGTATGGTGTGGGGGGTGGTGGTGTGGGTGTGGGGGGTGGTGTGGTGTGGGTGTATGGTGTGGTGGTGTGGGTGTGTGGTGTGGGGGGTGGTGGTGTGGTGTGGGTGTGGGGGGTGGTGTGTGGTGGTGTGGGTGTGGGGGGTGGTGTGGTGTGGGTGTATGGTGTGGGGGGTGGTGGTGTGGGTGTGGGGGTGGTGTGGTGTGGGGGTGGTGTGGTGTGGGGGGTGGTGTGGTGTGGGTGTATGGTGTGTGTGTGGGGGTGGTGTGGGTGTATGGTGTGGGGTGGTGTGTGTGTGGGGGGTGGTGGTGTGGGTGTGGGGAGGGTGGTGTGGGTGTGGGGAGGGTGGTGTGGTGTGGGGGTGTGGTGTGTGGGTGTGTGTGGGGGGTGGTGTGGGTGTATGGTGTGGGGGGTGGTGGTGTGGGTGTGGGGGTGGTGGTGTGGTGTGTGGTGTGGGGGGTGGTGTGGTGGTGTGGGGGGTGGTGTGGTGTGGGTGTATGGTGTGGGGTGTGGGGGGGTGTGTGTGGTGTGGGTGTATGGTGTGGGGGCTGGTGGTGTGGGTGTGGGGAGGGTGGTGTGGTGTGTGGGGGGTGTGTGGTGTGGTGGGTGGTGTGGTGTGGGGGGTGGTGTGGTGTGGGGGGTGGTGTGGTGTGTGGTGTGTGGGTTTGGGGGGTGGTGTGGTGGTGTGGGTGTGGGGGGTGGTGTGGTGTGGGGGGTGGTGTGGTGGTGTGGGTGTGGGGTGGTGGTGTGGTATGGGGGGTGGTGTGGTGTGTGGTGTGTGGGTGTGGGGGGTGGTGTGGTGGTGTGGGTGTGGGGGTGGTGTGGTGTGGGGGTGGTGTGGTGGTGTGGGGTGGTGGTGTGGTATGGGGGGTGGTGTGGTGGTGTGGGTGTGGGGGTGGTGTGGTGTGGGTGTATGGTGTGGGGTGTGGGGGGGTGTGTGGTGTGGGGGTGGTGGTGTGGTGTGGGTGTATGGTGTGGGGAGGGTGGTGTGGTGTGGGGGTGTGAGTGGTGTGGTGTGTGTGGGGGGTGTGGTGTGTGTGGGGGGTGTGGTGTGGTGTGGGTGTACGGTGTGGGGGGGTGTGTGTGTGGGGGGTGGTGTGGTGTGGGTGTATGGTGTGGGGGTGTGTGTGTGTGGGGGGTGTGGGTGTGGTGTGTGTGGGGGTGTGAGTGGTGTGTGGGGGGTAGTGTGGTGTGGGGGTGTGTGTGGTGTGGGTGTATGGTGTGGGGTGTGGGGGTGTGTGTGTGTGGGGGGTGTGGGTGTGGTGTGTGTGGGGGTGTGAGTGGTGTGTGGGGGTAGTGTGGTGTGGGGGTGTGTGTGGTGTGGGTGTATGGTGTGGTGTGGTGTGGTGTGGGGGTGAGTGGTGTGGTGTGGGGGTGTGAGTGGTGTGTGGGGGGTGGTGTGGGGGGTGGTGTGGTGGTGGGGGTGTGGGTGGTGTGGTGGTGTGGGGGTGTGAGTGGTGTGTGGGGTGTGGTGATGTGAGGGGGGTGGTGGGGGGATGGTGGTGGTGGGGCATAACCATGTGTTTGTATAATATATATGGTTGGAGGAGGGAGGGAGGGAGGGTGCGGGTGGGGTTTGGGGGAGGGGGGGGGGAAGGGGTGGCTGTACATGGCCTTTAACCTCCCCTTCTTCTTCTCCTCCTCCTCCTCCTCCTTCCCCCCGCCCCCCTTCCCCTTCCCACGGGAGCCGCCGATTGGTCCGCCGCCTGCCGTCTCCTCCAATCGCGGCGCTCGTTGCTGCCGGGTTGCGTGCGTGCGTGCGGTGCGTTGCGTTGCGTGCGCGTCCGCCCCGTCCGTGCGTGCGTGCGTGCTTACGTACGACCCGGCCCGGCCCGTACGGCTTTCGCGTGGTGCTGGTGGAGGAGGAGGAGGAGGAGAAAGGGGAGGGGGGCGCGTGGGGTGAAAAACACACACACACACATACACACACAACCCCTAAACCACCACCACCACCACAACAACAACAACAACACCCCCCAAAACGCAGAGAGAGAGAGAGAGAGACTTCGGGGCCTTCGTTGAAAATAGAGACGGGGGAGTGGAGGGGGAATTTATAGATATATATATATATATATCTCAACGATGGAGAAGACAGAGGCTCGTGAATAAGTTCGCGTTTAACCCACTACCTCAGGCAGGTCTCGTGTGTGTATATATATATATAGAGAGAGAGAGAGAGTGAGTGAGTGAGAGCCGCGCCGCTCCTCCTCCCCCTCCCCCTCGCGGGCCTGAGGGCCGCTTGTGACGTTGCCGCAGTAACGGTCGCCCGTTCCGACTCCCGCGTTCAAAAAGGTGCGACCGCACGCGCGCCGCCGCCGCCGCCGCTCCTCCCCCACCCCCCCCCCCCCCCCCTCCCTCCCTCCCCACCGCCCGCCCGCCCGCCCGCCGCCATGAGCTGCCTCAATCTCGAGCGCTTCCGTTACCACAAGACAGGAGAGCGGCTCGAGCCCAGGCCCGGCGAGCGGGGCCGCTCCCGAGCTGCCGCTGCCGCTTCTTCTTCATCATCATCTTCTTCTTCTTCTTCTTCTTCTTCTTCTTCTTCTTCTTCTTCTTCTTCTTCTTCTTCTTCTTCTTCTTCTTCTTCTTCTTCTTCTTCTTCTTCTTCTTCTTCTTCTTCTTCTTCTTCTTCTTCTTCTTCTTCTTCATCATCGTCGTCGTCGTCGTCATCATCGTCACCGCTTCCGCCGCCGCCGCCGCCATCATCATCATCATCACCGCCTCCGCCACCGTCGTCATTACTCGGCCACGAGGAGAGTGACTCCGGACCCCCTTCGCCACCTGCGCACGGGGAAGGGGAGGAAGAGGAGGAGGAAGAAGAAGAAGAAGGAGGAGGAGGAGAAGAAGAGGAAGAGGAGGAGGAGGAGGACGCCTGCGAACTCCCTTTGCCATCACAGCCCAAGGACCACACGGCGGCAGCAGGTGAAGTGGTCTGGTCTTGGAGGCCCTCCTGACCTGAAAGGCGCTCCATCAGTGCATGTTGTTGTTGTTGTGGTGGTGGTGGCGGCGGTGGTGGCGGTGGCGGCGCCGCAGCTGCGCTCCACGTCACGTCCCACAAAGTAGAACGGTCGATTCGCCTTCCGGTAATATCCCGCGAAGCGCTCGGAGAGAGGGGGCAAAGACGCGATGGGGCGGCGGTATCAAAATGCAAGGATTTATCATTCCCTTTTTTTTTCACTGTTAGTGTGATCATTGTTATCGTTCCATCGCCTCTCGAAACCCAGCATCACCCCGATGAACCTCACCGCCCGCTGCCGTGAACCCCCCCACCGCCACACCGCCACACCCACCCCTGCTCACTGCTGGCACAATCGACCAGTCTCTCTCCTGAGACTCTGACACGCCGCAGGCCACCAAAACCCTCATACCCGCACGCGCTCGTGACATCCAGGCTTGACTATGCAAACTCCCAGCTTCTCCCCTCCGTGGGCCCGCCCGGATCATCCAGAACTCTGCAGCCCGTCTCCTCGCCCGCACGAGGCTCCTTGACCCTATCATCCCCATCCTCGGCCAACTCCACTGGCTTCCTTCCCTTCACCCACAGGATACGATTCAAGATTTTGGTCCTCACCTTCAAAGCTCTCCGGGGTCTCACTCCCCCCCCCCCCCCCCCCCCCCCCAGCCTCCCAACTCTGCGACCTCCTGACAAACATCGTACCCTCCATTCCATCATTTGTGGCTGTGCTTACAGCCACTATGTCCCAAAACTCTGGAACACTCTTCCTCTATCCTTTTGCTTTGCCCCTTCCTTCCTCATCTTCAGATCGCGCACGATGACCTTCCTCTTTGGCATTTGACACAGTTGATCACGCCATCCTCCTCCACCACCTCATCTCCCTCATACACCTTAGTGGCACTGCACTCGGAGTCCTACTTAACAAACCGCCAACAAAATTACATTTATAGAGCGCCTTTCATGTCGGGAGAACGTCCCGAAGCACTGAACAGTCAGGTGTCGGGGCCCGAGCATGGGGGAGGGGTGGGGTAGGGGTGAGGGAAGGCAGAGAGGTGGGAGGGAGACCAAAGGCACGATCGAAGAGAAGGGTCTTGAGACCGGCCTTGAAGGTGGCGAGGGAGGAAGCGAGGCCAAGGGACCGTGGGATGGGGTTCCAGAGTGTGGGGGCAGAGAGGCTGAAAGCCCGGCCACCGATGGTAGGGCGGGTCGGGCGGGAGACATGGAGCAGCCCGGAGCTCGCTGAACGGAGGGAGCGGGCAGGTTGGTAGGGAGTCAGCAGGTCAGAGAGGTAGGAGGGGGTGAGGCCATGGATGGCCTTGAAAGTGAGGATGAGGATCTTGAACTCGATCCTCTGGGGGATGGGGAGCCAGTGGAGTCGGGCACAATACATCTCAGCAAATGTTTTTTCCTCCCGCCCCTGCCCGGTGATCCGTGGGGTACCCCAAGACTTCATCCTTGGCCCACTTCATTTCCTTATCTACATGCTTTCTCTTGGCGATGTCATCCACAGACATGGCATCAACTTCCACAGCTATGTGGATGATACCCAAAACTACTTCTCCTCTTCCAGCTGCGATTCCCAGTCTGCTGATTTCCTGTCAGAGTGTTTGACAGACATCAATGCCTGGATGAGCGCAAATTTTTTTCTGCAGCTGAATGTCGGCAAGATGGAAAACGATACTCTTTGACTCCCGTCAATGTTTTCTCACATGCAGGTCTGAACTTCCTCAGTCTCTTGAGCTCTTCCTCAGACTCTCCGAACCCGTGTGCAACTTGGGCATCAAGTTCAATCTTCAGCTTTCCTTTCTGCCCCACATCCGTTACCTGACCAGGACCGCTTTTTTCCACCTCTGTCACATTGCCAACTAATGCCAAGATGTCCTTATTGTAAATGGGGATAATCAAACATTTATAATATAATTTATCATTGCAAAATAACTTAGGAAACAGCAAAAGATACAAATTCACTCTTTGAAAGAATATCTGCTGGTTCAGGGTAGACAGCATTATAATTAAACCATACAGACTAGATGGTCACAGGTTTGCTTCTTGGCTCTGTGATGAATTAGTTGATCTCAGCTGGTTAGTATATGGTGGACGGGCTGCAAGAGCCCATGTATTTTTGGCCTGGGGAGGGGGGAACATTACTCAGTGTTCCTGCTGGTTGGATACTGGGTGAGAACAAGTTTAGGTTCCGCTATCATGCACTCCACAGTTTAATAATAATAATCCTGGCATTTGATATAGCATCTTATTATGTGTAAAACCCATTGTCTATAGAATTAGCTTCAAAGTGCAATTTATAATTTGGGAAATGAAACAAAACAGGTTCTGTGTTGTGAAAATCCTTCAACCCTTGTACAACAGCATTCTGCTTTTGATTGCTAATTTTTTTTCCAAAAAACCCTCCTACCTTTCCTCTAGATTTAGTGACCAGTATACCAGAGACACCAGAAGCAAAACGGTCAGGTATTTTATCATATTTCCGGAGATGTGAGAAAGGAGTCCATTTTATAGACTCGGAATCTGACAATGAGGAATTGAACCATAAAAGTTTGTCTAGGACTGAAGTGACTATGCGGCCAAAAAGATGGATTCAAAAAATGTAAGTAACTGTTTTATCACTTTCCGTTCCCCAGGAAAATAATTTTTTGGAGCAGGGAATTTATCTTCATACATTGTAATCATGGAATCTTCAGTGTTAATTTATGCTTAAAGGTGTTTTAGTTTTGAGGGTATCAACACTAGTAGCTTAGTTTGCTTGAAAGTTCCCACTTTGTTGTAGTTCTTTCTTATTCTTGAATGAAATGCATTACTGTTGAAAATGTTAAATTAGATCTAATTTAATTTGGTTATCTGATTACACTGTAGAATATTTTTGTATTGGTGTTTGGATTTGTCTAATGCTGTTAAAATGCATCCGTTTTTACATGGAGTATTGTCACCGAACCGGTGCGCAACCTAGGCGTCAGTTTCGACCGACAGCTTTCTTTCCTTCCCCCACATTTGTTCCTGACCGGGATCGCCTTCATGCACCTCTGTCACGTTGCCTGCCTCCAACCATACCTTATCCCAGACACAGCCGAAACACTCATCCATGTGTTCATCACCTCCCACTTTGACTATTCAAATGTCCTACTCGATTGGCTCGAGTGGCTCCAACCCGCTGCATGTCTGTCGTACCCTCCATTCCACCATTGGTGGCTGTGCTTACAGCCACTATGTCCCGAAACTCTGGAACACTCTTCCTCTATCCTTTCGCTTTGCCCCTTCCTTCCTCATCTTCAGATCGCGCATGATGACCTTCCTCTTCGACCGTGCCTGCGGTTACCTCCCCACCCGGCTCAGCTTTGTCCTCTGCCACTGTCAAGCGCAGTGGGACGCTACGCTGTGTTAGGGGAGCTATATAATTGCAAGTTGTTGTTATTTATGATGAAATTCTACAGTCTCTCAATTATACATAATGTAAAGTGGAAGGTGCAAATTCCCCTCTTCCCTCATGAAAAAAGTAAAAATGTGTTCTGCTTGTATCGAGACAAATGTTTACACACACTTGTATTTGCACAGTCGAAGGTAGATGTGTGACACTTAAAATCTCATTTTAATTTTACACATAAAATATACATTCAATTCACTTTACAGTATATTCTGTGAAGTGCTTAGAAACGTCTTGAAGATGTGATAAGACACTATATCAAATGCAAGAATTATTATTTATTATTACAAGTAACAACTCTTGAAAGCTGTAATTTTATAGTACATCTGTATATTCATAGATTGTGTTATATTTCACTGCACTGGAAAGTAAAACATTAAAGTATCAGTTCTTAGAAGTAGTTTTTTTCCCAACAACCAAAATAACCTACAATAAATCTTCTGTTTTGAAATGGATATTTTAACCTCAATGCCCTTAGGAGTAATAAATCATACAGATAAACAAATGTGTCCAAACTTAACGGAGCCGATAATGATCATTCTTGGTATATCTCAAGACATGCCTTCAAAAGAAACATGCAATGGGGACCATTACATGTTGGCGCGGTGGGGAGAAGGTGAAAATATCAGGTGCTTGTCAGACAGTGTTCTCCATGATAAGCTGTTTAGCTGGTTAAACTCCAGCAGTGCCCAAAAGCATTCTGATATTCCCAGGCTTTGATACTTAACAACCTGTTCCAAATACCCCTGTAATTAACTAGGCTGGGCGCGTCCTTCCAAGGAGAGAGCATACACATTCTATTTCCAAATACCAGTTCGTCAAATTAGATTTTTATGGGTAAGAGCAGAAAAAGAAATTATCGGTGGGGGAAACGGGAGAAATGAGAATTGCACCGACTTTTTTAAAATTATTGTTTGAAGGTAAACCATTTCCTTTTCTAATCTCCCACAATTTGTATCCGCTCTGTCTGAAGTGGCTATATTGGGATGTGAGAATAACCAGGGTATGTGATGTAGCCATTAGTTAGCAGAATAAGGAACCTAGGGTTGTGGGTCACTGAATTTTACTGCCGCTTGAGTTAGCACATTGCTGGTGCACTTTACTCTGCTCTGATTACTCTGTGGGCCTTCAGAATACAGAAATTGCCAATATGGATCTATGGATTTTTCCATTGTTACAGGTCTGCCCTTGAGATTTTTATTGCTAGGAATGTTTTTAAACAAGATATAGCTTCAGCACTTTGCAAACGATTATGAGGATGTGAGAGTAGTTACACTGTCCGATTTGGGAGAGAAATTTATTTTCTTTTTACAAATATTAAACTGAGCCTTGAGCGTGTCAAAGATGCACCCAAGAGGATGCATTGTCACTCATTTCACTTCTCTGCCCAAGGTCAGGGATATTTGGCATCTTAATTTAGCAGAAGGAGGAGTTGTATATTTAGTTCCAGGACAAATATGATAGCTGTAGCTTGTGCTTTGAATATTCACAAGCGTATATAGTATATTCACTTTACAGTATGTTCTGTGAATTGCTTTGAGACATCTCAAAGACGTGATGAGGCATTATATCAAATGCAAGGATTATTATTATTTGAATGAAAAATGAACTTCATAGCCACTTTGATCCATCTCATCGTTCTGGAATGCAACCCCTTTCCATTAAACTGTTTTTTGTTGAATTAAATGTCCTAATTCCAACCACCATCTTGTTATATCATTCTTAGTGGTTGATCAAATATATAATTTCTGATGTCTGTCATAAGATTGACCTTCACAATCTGACTATCTGTCTTCCAGAAATGGTGCTGCTGACTTTGAATCGGAGGAGGAGGAGGAAGAGATGCAACTTACTCCTAAAACAAATGGATCTTCTCTAAACTATAGTAGCTCATCCCATTTAAATGTCAATTTAGGTGACTCTGCTCTTACAAAACTACGAAAACTGACTGAGCTTTTCCCACATAGAACCAGTGCTGAACTAATGCAGGTATGTAGAATGGGTACAGTATGCAAATGTTGACTTTTAATGAGTTATGAACCATTAAATATTTGCAGGTGGAATTCTCTGGTTGCTCAGTGTTAATGACACCATGTATTGCGGCACTGAGCCTTAAAAGTCAGGAAGGTTCTAGCAGATATGATTCCTCTGCTGAGGCTTCTCATCTATGGGATGGTAGTTTAAAATTCATCTCAATATCATTCGACTCAGAGTTGTTACTGTCTGAAATTTTTACACAGAGAGTTGTTACGGTCTGGAACGCACTGCCTGAAAGGGTGGGTGGAAACTGATTCAATAACAACTTTCAAAAAGGAATTGGATTCCTTTCGACCATGCCTTTGGTCACCTTCCTCCCCCTCCCCCTGGTTCGACCCCGGGATCCGTTACTGTGAAGCGCTCTGAGACGCCGTCCGGCGTGGAGGGCGCTATATAAATCCAAGATGTTGTTGTTGGATAGATTCTCGAAGAGGAAAAATTTGCAAGGATATGGGGAAAAGAGCAGGAGTGTCGAACTGATTGGGTTGCTCTTCCAAAGATGGGCCAAATGGCCTCCTTCTGTGCTGTAATAATCTGCGACAGGACCTTGGTTTAATGACTTATACGAAAAACAGCACCTCCAACAATGAATACACCCCCAGCACGACGAGTTTTGTGGTGCTCATATCTTCATTTTGTTCTTTCTGGTACTTGAACCCAAGGAGGGATACTATTAACTTTTGTGCAACAATTGAAAGTAAAGAAAAATGACACTGAGATAAAAACTGCTGCCACCATTTGAGCCATTATTTTTCCATAAGCGGAATCAATAACGTAATTCAGTGTCAGTGTAAGTAGATACTGTGTCATACAGTTCTGATCAAATGAAATACCCCTTGACTTGCATGTTCTCTTGGATCAAGTGAAATGTCCCTCGACTAAGCCTGAAGGTTCTTTGCCTAGTATGCTTTAGGAACTTTTCAACCCAGCCAGATACAATATGACTAGCAAAAACAGGAATCGCTGGGAACACTCAGCAGATCAGGCAGCATCTATGGAGAAAGGAAAGTGAGTCAACGTTTCGGGTCCACGACTTTGTCAGAACCGTTCTTTCAAGAAATTAAGTTAGGTTTCTTTACTTATAACCTGGGCCAATAGAAAAGTTCTTAAATATTCGCCCCCCAAATTACGGCGTGCTTTGGAAGTCTTGCGGGAAATTGCGGAGAGCTTGCTGAATTTTGCGGGGGTTGATTGGTGCTGTTGAGAGATGTGTTTTGCTGCTAACCCTTTATTTTTTCTCTTCTCACTCTTAAAAACTAAACCTGAAGAAACACATCATAGATTATTGGAAGAAACAATTTATTAATGTTTTTTTCAACAAAAACAGAACACCACCTTTCAAAAGATGCAAAAGTACAGTTTCAACACAGTTTGCAGAGAAATTAAAATTTTCAAATCAAATTTTTACAGAAACAAACAAAAAATTGTCAGCCAAAAGTTCAGTATTAGTTAAATTTTAACATGAGAAGAATCTTTATATTTTCTTCTGTAGGCTTTGTCTGATATCTTTGAGGAGGTCTGCATAAACAGAAAATGATCTTTCAACGTCAGCTGTGCTCAAAAAATGTAACTTTTTGCAATTTTAGCAAGTTTCACAAGTGGCTTAGGCCGAGCTCCCCACCATGCTGCTATTTGTGGTTAGCTGGGATATTTTCTCCAGCTGCTTTATAAGCATGCCATTCGAAGTTTTAAATAGTTGAAAGGGAAGGAATCACATTACTATATAAGTCTTTTTTGGCATCCATTGTTGCTAGCTGGCGAGGATCAAAAATACAAACTGCTTTATAGGTAGCAATTGACGGATGCTTATTCAAAATCAGGCCCATCTTTTCACTGCGGTCTTGTATGATTCTCTGGGAAAGGTTGACACATGCTTCTCATTCTCAGAACAGGCTGCAAACTTTTCCACTGTCTTTGGAAATCAATAAACAAATGTAATTTTTTGCACCCATAAATGCAAATTGTGGCTCTGAGGCACAGATGTTTCCTGATGTTCTTCAGTGAGTTTTATGAGCTCAGATGAGTGCTCTGTGACAAAGGTTGCTTGGGCTTGCAACTCTGCAGTGTTATTGTTCAAGAGTGTTTTAATTTTTTTCACTGAGCCCTCTGATGTAATTCCTCAAAGTAATTCTGCCAAAACAGGCAAGTACACATACAAATATTCAACAGCCTTCACTCAGGAGCACCAACGCGTTTGAACAGCAAAGACTGGCATTTGTAGTTTAATTTTATCCTTCATCTTCATAAATTCCAAGTACTGATGCCGGCACAATAGACTTTGGCAAAGGACTTTCTTAACCACAGCAACCACTGCGTTTAAGTCCTCCAATATAATAGGCTAAATTTCCAAAATCAAGTTTAGAAGACGGGCAATGCGTGTAATATGTATTGCGTTTGGAAACAATCCCGACAGAATTGTGTTAACTGCTTTGATCATATAGCTTGGACTGTCTGTGGCAACTGCAAGCACTATCAAAGTTAACCATTTCTACATTTAAGACTCTTAGAAGAGCTTGTGATACAGTGGCATGGTTGACTCGCTGCAAGAATTCTACTCCAATAAGAAGAGGCTTCCGACAGCTTTCTGCAGTGTCTGTGTTAGCACTGCCAAAACACTGCGCCCACTGGAATCAGTGGTCTCATCCAGAAACAAGTACACATCCATGTCCTCAACATGTTTCTTCAAAAATGCTTCATGCTCAGGAATAAGCTCCTTCAAGTATGTATTACAAAGCTGTGATGGTGTTGGAGTAGTCCCACCCTGTTTTGTGTACTTGCATAAAAACTCTTGGAAGGCAGGAGCTTTTTCAAGCAGCTTATCGATAGTCAAACACTGCACAAAGTTCAATATGAATTCTTTCTTCTCCATAGATGATTCAGTGACTCTAGAGAAGCAGGTTGTCAGAGCAAAATACTGCAGATGCTGAAAATCTGAAACAAAAACAGAAGTCGCTGGGAACACTCAGCAGGTCAGGCAGCAACTACGGAGAAAGGAAAGTGAGTCAACGTTTCGGGTCCACGACCCTTCGTCAGAACTGGGACATGTTGGGAGGAAACATGCCCCAGTTCTGATGAAGGGTCATGGACCCAAAACGTTGACTCACTTTCTCCATAGATCCTGCTTGACCTGCCAGGTTGTCAGAGGAAGTTGTCTTAGAGATCCACCTAAGAAAGGAAAAACTAGAAATTTATCTTCATGATGCATCTGTCATTAGAAACGTTCTGTCTATTTGTTTTTGTCTGCTGTGGTTTTATGTCCTTTTAAAATTCAATCAAAAACCAGGGAGATTAACTTTTGTAATCATACCAATTAAGATTTTCTTTCAAAATTAACGTGAAAGCAGATAATGATGCATTTTCATTATGTATGTATGTATATCAAAAGTATTTGACCTTCATTTTTGTTCTTTATTGTCGCTGCCTTGCATTCACAATGTTTCCAAGATTTCATGCGCTCGTGTGAATGTGGCAAAACAACTGCCCTCCTGCTTCATAAAGGTCACCTGGATAGAGTACAATTCTATCTGAGGAACAGACGGAAAATGAGACGTACTGTCTCTGTTTCCTCACGGGATTTCCAAAAACATTTGGACATTTTTGTATTGTACAACCTAAAAAGGGAAACAGCTCTGATTAAAACTATAGGTATATATTTCCTGAAAATGTAGTTATGTTTAAAATACTAAATATTTGAATAGTACAGCACTTATCAAAAATTTGTCGCAGTAGTGTGACGCAACTGTTTTTCCTATCGAGAGTTACTCACCAGCGAAGTCAATTTTCCGCACATGCTGTTTCCGCGATCCCAAAATTCCTCGCATTCGTGACGGCAGCCGCTCCAGCTATGGTAGCCGCGTTGAGCAAACAGCGCAAGAGACTTGGGGCTAGCGCACTGTGTGTAAAGGTTAGTGCCCGAGGGGCTGAGTGTAGAGGGGATTTTAGCAGGCGAGGCTCGTTGTCACGGAAAAAATGCACCCGCACTTTCCCATTGGCCCAGCTTATAACTTGTCTATAAAGTCACTTTATCTAAAATTTGGAAAATACAGGGAGATCCACCACTGATCTATTGAGAACTGCAAAGCTTGTTAACTGTACCTTATACACAGTAGCTTGCAAAATGTAAAGAATTTTGCCCACAAAAATATACAATCAATTCACTTTAGAGTATATTCTGTGAAGCGCTTTGAGACGTCTCGAAGACGTGATAAGGCGCTATATCAAATAAATGGATTATTATTGTTTATGCTACAGTGCTTAATACACAGCCAATTTAGGACGATGATGGCTATGATTGTACAAATGGTGTCAGCATGTTGTACAGGAGAGTGGTCATTTTGTATGGATGACTAAATGTATGATGCAATTGCATTTCTGTGTGCGTAAGGGGCATATTTGCTGCTGTAAATTCTAAGAAAGGCAAACTTCATTTAATCCTTTGTTTTTTCGTATTGCACAAAATGCTCGTCATTGATGAGCTGCAGGCAGAGGTGATTGGAGGCAATTATTGTGGGTTGAATATTTCATTTGACATCTGAGATTGATTTGTTTGCAATAAGGAGGTTTAATGGGATTAAAAACTCTCTTACACTTCTTCCTTTTCATTTCCATAAGTTAGATTTAACCTATATCCTGAACAAAGGTGACATTTCTGCAAGTGAGTTTTTGGGAAGATGAACTCTGCATCCTGTAATGCTTAAAATACATTTTCAGACATTGAAGTTTAACACTTAAAATTAAGTGTCTCTGCTAGATCTTATTTATGTACAAAAGTATTTGGAAATTAATTATTCAAATCTATTTTTTTCCTAAATTAGACATTTGGAGGAATCAATATATAATAGTTTAACGTATTGATGTAGTAAACTGATTGTGGGAGGATAAATGAAAATGTATGTACTGTATTGTATATATTGTATGGAACATGATTCTGTTTTAAAATGTTCTACTTCTTACGCTCTGCATCAAGGTAATTGAATCAACAAGCACACTGGATGGAGCTGTAGCTTCAGGATTAATCTTGTTTGGAGAAGAAGGTATGACCTCTTTCACATATCTGTACTCCAAGACATACTACCCATGTGAAGGGCGCTATATAAATGCAAGTTGTTGATGGTTGTGATTTTTTAAAATATAGAAATGAACTAAAATAAATCCCCTTTGTGTGTTAAGTTGCACAGGAATCTTTTTAATGAGAAAAATAATAATCCTTGCATTTGATATATAGCCTTTCATGTGGGTAAGATCTCAAAGTACTTACGATCTGCTATAAATTGTAGTGGGACGTCCTCCCAACGTGAAAGGCGCTATACAATTGTAATCTTGTTGTTATTGTAGTGACTGTATTTTTGGGGGTGAATGCAGCAGCAAGTTTGCACGCAACAATGTCCGCACAGCAGTGCGCCACAAACAGCCATGAACTGAATGACCAATTGTATCTAGGGAATTGTTGGCCTGGGCTGGGAGAAACTCCCTTATATTTTCCAATAAGTGCCAAGCTGATCTCTTAACATCTATCTGAACTTCAGACAGGATTTGGGTTTCATGTTTTATCCCAAAGTTGACTCCTCCAACTATGTAGCACCTCCCCCACCACAACATTGGAGAATCAACCTAGATTTTGTGTTCAAAGTACCAACATGGGGTTTTGTACACACAGCCTTCCGACTCAGAGGTGAGAATGCTACCAACTGAGCCAGGTAAATTTAGTGCTGCTTTGGAGTTAGATCTCCAGCTGAGAGGAAGTGCTTTACGTTCTCCAAAAGAGATGTTTCACTATCCATCATTAGTGACAAAATTCTACTAATGAAGACTGAAGTGTTTCTTGGTTTTTCATCACTTTTTAATAAAGTCTGACATCCATTTTCAAAGCTACAAGAAATAAGAAACATTTGAAGGGTTCGTGTGCAACATATTGCCATTTAGGGCATTAAACTTTATTGAAAGATCTTGAATTAATAATCCAAGATTTATTGGTTGAACATTTAACAGTGTGCACTTTTGCAAAATAATCTCGTAAATGTTTTTTTCAATTATTCTGAAGAATGTCAAAAGAATTTCTCTCTTTTTAGGAATGGTACCTGGAATTGAAGTTTTTCCGTAATCATATGCTTTTCTAAAATTAGTTAGTTCGGGTGAAAATGCAAATGTACTTGCTAAGTAAAATATTAGCAATAACAAAATCCTTGCATTTGGTGCAGCACCTCATAATGTTGTCAAAATATCTCGGGAGAGTTTCAGGATATCAGGCGGGTTCAGTAGGTAGCACACTAACGTTTGAGTCTTAATATTTTGGGTTTAAGCCTCGTGTCTGGACTTTGAGGTCACAGTGTAGGCTGATACTTCAGTGTAGTGCTAGGGAAGCTGCATTTTCATTTGGATGAGACTTTAAGCAAGGTCCCATCTGCCTGCTCAGGTTGATGTTAAAGATCCCATGGCACAGTTGGAAAAGAGAATGGAGTTTCTCCTGGTGTGCTGCCAACGTTCTTCCCATACACCCCAAAAAAGTCATTCACTTCAGGGGTGTTTGTGGAACATTGATGTGTGGAAATAGGCATTCACTCTTGTCTACAAATAACAGTTACTATAATTTAATGTAAAATCATGTGAAGCTGTTTGAGATGTTTTAATGCTGTGAATGACTGGTACATGAAATGCAAACATTGTTTTATAGCTTATATCTTAATTGGATTGTGCTCTTGTATCTTTAAAATAATTAGTCTCTTGTGCTTGCAATGGTTAGACAGGAAAGATTACAGCTTTTTTAAACACCTACCAAAACAGCATTGTTTTGATGTGTTTGTGCATTCAATTAACACTGCAGTTTGCTGGAGGCATATGTCAAAGTGCAGTGCCCCAACTTGTTCACCTTAAGTGTTTTTTTTATTGACTATATGTTCCAAATTGACAGATGTTCACTCTTCCAGTTAAAATTCAAATACACCTTTCTTTAAAAGCGGTTAAACTCATTTATTTGCTTTGAAAAAACACTCTTAAGTTGCACGGAATATAGTTGCCTTTTAAGCTTATCAAATTTCATCGCTGTACAAATAAGTTTTCTAATCTGATTGAAGTTAACTTTCTTCAAGAGCTTTCCTATTAAGGATTATTTAATTGACTGATTTTATTCGTAAGTACAAAAGACCTGATTAAAAAGGTGTTGCAATAATTTAATATGTCAGATTGGTCCTTATTTTATCCTTTAAGACCTTTTGCCAATCTGAAAAGGTGTACATTTAAAGCTATGAACTCATTTGTCTTAGTAATTTCCAGAAATATCAGTATCTTTCTTAAAGGCTACCAAGGATGATCAATTGCATATCTTTTCTCAAAGTCTCAAGATATTGGCCATTTGGTGTAAGCAAGAATACAGTAAAAACCCTCAGTATCTGAGTCTCTGACTTGGGTTATCTGGAATTTTAATCTAGCCAGACACCAAAAATTAAAATAATAATAAATAATAATAAAAAATTCTCCAGGCCAAAAAATCCTGTGATCCCATGTGTAGACACCTGTTAACCCCAAAACTCTTCTAGCAGTGCCAACGCCTTGCTTAGTGACCCACGCGATCCCCACAGCTTCCCGTCTCACTGTCCTTTCTCTGGTACCCAGTTGTCCACCTGAGCAACTTCTTTGATTTACAGCACTAGAAATGCATATCCAGTGCTGTAAATACATTGTCAGCATTGTAATACACTTAGGCGGAAATTCCGTCTCGCTGGATCGGATCTCCTCCCAATTAGGCCGGCTAGCAGGGCTTTGTTTATCTGTATTGGGAAGAATGTGTACTTTTCATGTGAAAGTTCCTTGAAATGTGAATAAATTGTTTTATAATTATAAATGCACCTCAACCTTAGTTATGCTCTAGTTCAGTTCACTTCAATCCACGACTGTTTGTGGGACATTGTGGTGTGCAAATGGCGGGGTAGGCTTGAGGGGCTGAATGGCCTACTTCTGCTCCTAATTCCTATGTTCCTATGTACTTTCAGTGCTTGCTATATAAATGTAATTTCGTTGTTGTTGTTTTTCTAGGCGGGTATCTTGCAAGTCATTTGTGATGTCTTGCTGGTTACTGAACATATTTCCTGTTCGGGACTATTCTGAGTTGCTATTAGTGAATCCTTTTGAAAAGGTGCCTATTGGATTGAATCAGGCTAATTCTCTAGTCTGACCAATTTTTACTACAACAAGGACTTGCATTTATATAGCCCCCCCCCCCTCACAAGGGTAGCGTCCCAGAGCGCTTATAAATACATCTCAAGCTTACTTATTAATTAGGTCATTAAACTTATCTTAATTGGTAAAATTTACAAGATTGTTTTATTTTACAAATCCAGCTATTCATTGGTTTTCTGTGTGATTCCATATGTATGCAGCACTGAACTTTACCTGTACTATTACAACAACAACTTGCATTTACATAGCGGCCTTCGCTCGGGATGGCGTCCGAGAGTGCTTGACAGTGGCGCAGCCTGACACTGAGCCAGGGGGAGGTGTCCATAAGCACGATCAAATAGGTGGAATTTGAAAGTGGGGAGGGAGGGAGCAAGGTGGAGGGATTGAGAGATGAGAGTCCCAGAGTTTCGGAGCTGAAACTCCCAGAGTGGCTGAAGGCACGGCCACCGATGGTGGAGCGGCTGGAATGAGGGACAAACAGGACGCCAGAGCCAGCCGAGCGGATGCAGCGGGAGGTATAGATATATATATATATATATATATAGGGAGGTCGGATAGGTAGGGAAATGCGAGCGCATAAAGTGATTTGAAAACGAATGAGATGATCTTAAAATCCATCCGTTTGGTAATTGGGAGCCAGTGGAGGCTGGCAAGGACTGATGTGATGGTGGTACAGAGTTTTGTGCGGGTGAGTATCCGGGTGTCAAGAGTTTTGAATTATTTTAATTTGTGTATGGTGGAGCGAGGAGGGCATTGGAATAGTCCAGCTAGGAAGTGAGGAAGGCGTGGACGAGTGTTTCGGCTGCATTGGTTTTGAGGTACAGACGGAGGTGGGTAATGTGACGGATGCGATTCTGCCTATTCTATAAATCTTGAATTAAGGTTTAAATTTATTCCTATTCCCTCATTTTTGTTGCCTTTTTTCACAAGAGGTAGATATGCTCCAAGAATGTCAATGTATTCATTTAAAGATCACATGACTTCTGATTCATAAATGTCTTAAAATTAACCTTCCATTTCAATATTTTTAATGAAAGCTATTTGTTCTTAGCCACTCCTCGGAAAAGAAAACTGGAAATGTCTGGTAGGAGCAGCTCTGAAGAAAGTGATGGCCCCCATATTTCATCAACCAAGAAAAGGAAACCTAATCGTGTATGGCTTTTTAATTAATTTTCTATACTTTATTTTAACTAACCAAAACACTCAATAGAATTGTGTACCCAAACCATTTTGTAATAGATCTTGTGTACACAGATAGAAATTATCAAGCTAATTCCACTTGAAAGAGAATAGTTACATGCTCTGACACTGATATTGCAGGAAAGTCTGGAGCAGAGGTGACTTTGGCAGATTTTTGGGAGTGGCAGCTCTGGCTTGTTTGGAAGTTTCAAGAGTTAACTGGGTTAATAAAGTTTTGCAGCACGTTTCTGTGGTTATACAGATTTGGGAAAAAGTTTAGTGGCGCATCTTGCATCCGAGTACGTTTGTGTGACGAAGCAGCTTTTGTGACTTGTTTTGGCTGTTTATGAAATAGTGGTTGCATTTTAAGATTTGTGATGAAGACAGAAAGGAATTGCCCCAAGTTCTTGGTTTTTCACATGCCATATTTGTTCACGTTGCTATTTACATTTGAGCTGCATCTGAACTAGGAAACTTCTTCATAAACTGTCTCTATTTAGAAATGGATGTACATAGTTTGGTGTTTCAAAGTAACACTACATATTTTAATATCATAATTAGTCATTTTGAAGGCTAAGGTGAAATAATATGACCATTTATTTGTGCTTCAGTCTCAGTTAATTTGTACTGTGACTTTAAAGATAGCTGAAGGCATTGTATTTTGGGATGTTGACAGAATTGCATTGATAATTTTTTAACTAGCACCAACAGTCTTATCCGCCAGATGTGTTTGTATTTGCCTGAGGGCTGGACCTGTTTTTCCAGGTAGGGTGCCGCACAGTGACAGATGCCTTAAGCTTATTCATGTAGCTGTTTCACAACTGTCTGGCGGAGCCACATGGATTATGTTACTAATTTATTTTATAATAACTACTTTCATGTGGAATGAGGGATTATAAAATGTAAGAAACGTATTGTGCTTGTGGATAATTGCCTTGGTGTGTGCTTGCATGTGGTTGAGCCGGGTTAAGGGCCCTTGGTTATGAATTCTTCTCTCACTCCCCCTTCAGGCTTCAAGGTACCCACAGTCTTGCCAAATGGAGAGTTGTGGGCTACTGGAGGGGTGATGGTTCTCATGGAACTTTAGCGACCGTTGATTAGCTTCTTGTGGCTGGAAGTGGTGGGGCAATGAGAATTTTTTGCACTGGATTACACATCACTGCACTTTAGAACATAAGAATTTGCAAGGCAAAAGAAGACCAGGGTTCATCCAATTTGTCTTTCACCATCCTGGCAGTTGCTTGTACACTTCAAAGGGGACAGGAGAAGTTTCACAACACTGGCAGTTGTGTTTGAGTGATTGTAATTGGCAGGAAATAATATGGCTAACATTCATCATAATGCATTAATGACGGCCAGCTGGATTCTTTGACCATGCTGACTGTTAAAATATATCTTTTTATTTATTTCTGTCTGAAGAAAAAAAACTACAATCCGTTTTGCTGATAATTTTGTCACGTTTGTTTAAGTCCAAAAATAATGAAATTTATGACAGTTACTGATTGGAACAGTCCAATTTGTAGCCAAGTGTGAGAATAAGTCATGATCATTCACAATTTCCTTAATTTCCAAAACGATAGATAGTTTATTTGCTTTGCTTCATGTATTGCAAGGCAACAGTGGGAGAACAATTTATCTCCTTCAAGTGGACCATTCTGTGGTTGAAACTTAGATGAGTGCAAGTGGTCCAGGTTGGTTTTGCTCTCTGCTTTCTCTCTGGGCATGAAATGTTCCCACTACCTTCTTGTGATCTGGAACCCACGTTATGGGAAATTGTGGAGTGTTGGACCTGGCTTATCCCTTTGCATTTGGTAGTTTTTCAGGAAGCCTATGAAGATGCATTTTATGTTTTTTGGTAAGTTATTATGAAGAATTAAGACTACTTTTTTTAAAAAAAATTCCATTTTGTAAACGTTTTGAGCTCATTTCAATCTTAAGAGCTCCCACTATTCACCGGGTAAAATAGAGCAGTAAACATGAACTACTGTTCGTAAATCTTGCAAGCAAGAGTAAGTACAGTCCGTATTACCTTGTGTTATAGTTTGGCACAACAGACTGGATTGTATTCTCTTGTTCCAATGATCAGTAGCAACAGCAGCGCACCTGCATAATGCATTACTCAATAAACTATGAGATTAAGAGTACGCTATATGGGAAATTGAGGCCCTAATAATCTGCTGCAGTTTGTTAATTAATTGTTGTACCAGGCTGCTTGAAGTATTTGAAACACTCCATATAGTTTGCTAATGAAATTTTGATAAGACTGAATAACTAAACGTGGCTAGTTCAAACTGTTTACAGGCTCTAATAGCTAAGAAAGTGGTAGCAAATAGTTTTTTTTTAACGTTTCACGAGTTTTATTCAAAAAAAATGGTTTCATGAAATCTTATTCCTAGCTTGCAAGCCAAAACCTTACAGCTCCTGTTGACTCTGCAAGCCTAAATGCAAGTGATTCTAGCCAGACAAGCAGTAGAAAGCTTGTCAGGCAGTACTAACAATGACAAGCTACTTGGTTTTCGCTCGTTAATTTCCAGCATTACTTCAGCACACACTCTGGGGTACCTAAGCCTTGGTTCTCACCAACCTGGTCCTTGTACTTCAGGAATTAGGTAAGGATGGTGAATCTCTTTGGTGAGAAAGTGAGCCACTGCATTCCAGAGGCAGGGAAGTGTCCATGCCTAGGTGGAATCTTATATGGAACTCTGGCTGCTTTGGATATGCTTAGGCAAGGTGTTAAGTTTCTGAATATGTGAGACGGCTAACAAAAATATAGAGTGAAGGCCTGCCAAGGATTAAGTCTTGCTCAAGATGCAAATTTTTTATTAAAGTGGGTACCAATCTGATGATTTCTGCATGGGTTGATGGTAATTTCTATTTGTATGTCGAGGGTGAACTTTCACAGGATTAGAAAGGCTAACTGTGGGAATAAAGTTAATTTAAACAATTCAAAATTAAAGTCTGCATAACAATCTGGACTTCAGTTGAGGTTATATACTGCCAGCTACATTATATAATTGTGCTCTGATTTTTAGCTTGAGTCGCAGGATGACGATACACTGGCAGATGAGAAAAAAGAATCCATTCTAAAAAAACTTCACAATAACTTTCCAGATTTAGATAAAGAGGTAAGTTCAATTCTAATTTTTTTAAAAAATGTTTTATTGTGATATTCGGGGGAGAGACATTTAATTTCAAGGACTGAATTTATCTTGAATTCCAAGGCTAACTGGATAAAAGTTTTCTGAATGTTGAGTTCTTTGATACGTTTTATATATATATAATCTCAACCAAGTTGCATTCATAGCTCAAATCAGCATTAAATTGAGGTTTGGTATAGGAATTACAATTTCAGCCTGGTACAGTAAAATAGGTGTTTTTATGGGCAAACATCGCAACCAGTTTGTCACAACAGTTTCCCACAAATAGATATGAATGAACAAACAATTTTATCTGGAAGATTGCTAGCCAGGACACCATGAGAATCTCCTATCTGTGTTTGGGTGGTTTCGGATCAGCTCCCAGACTGGTTGAAGTCTTCGTTCCAAATCATAGAATTGTGGAATTATGCAGCACAGAAGGAGGCCATTTGTGCCGGCTCTTTGAAAAGAGCTAACCAAATCAATCCCACTCCCCCCGTGCTCTCCCCATAGCCCTGCAAACTTGTCCTCCCCAAATAATTATCTACTTCTCTCTTAAAAGCTGTTATCGAATAAGCTTCCACCATCCTTTCAGGCAATGCATTCCAGATCCAACCAATTCGCTGTGTGAAAAAATTTCTCCTCACCTGTTTCTTTGAACAACGATTTTAAATCGGTGTCCCCCTACCGACCCACCCGCCAGTGGAAATAGTTTCTCTTTGTTCATTCTATCAAATCTCCTCATAATTTTGAAAACTTCTATTAAGTCTCCTCTTAACCTTCTCTGCTCCAAGGACAATAATCCCAGCTTCTCTACCGCTCCTGATAACTGAAGTCCCTCATTCCTGGTACCATCCTGGTCAATCTCCTTTGTACCCTCTCCAATGCCTTGACATCCTTTCTAAAGTGTGGGGCCCAGAACTGAACCGAGTCTCGCTGAGGCCTAACCAGTGTTTTATATAAAGGTTCATCATAACTTCCTGACTTTTGTATTCTATGCCCCTATTTATAAAGCCCAGTATCCCGTATGGTTTTTTAACAGCTTTATCTACCTGTCCTGCCACCTTCAAGGATTTACTTATATGAACCTCCAGGTCTCTCTGTTCCTTCATCCACTTTAAGATGCTACCATCTAGCTTATATTGCCACTCCTCATTCTTCCTCCCATTTCTCCACATAAAAACTTCATCTGCCACATGAATGCCCATTTTAGCAATCTGTCTATGTCCTTTTGCAGTCTGTACTATTCTCCTCACTATTTACTACTTTTCCTATCTTAGTATCATCTGCAAAGTCCAGATTATTTATATGGATCAAAAACAGCAGTGGTCCCATTCCAGAGCCCTGGGGTCACCACTGCACACTTCCCTCCAGTCAGAAAAACAACCGTTCCCCACCACTCTCTGCTTTCTGTCTCCCAGCCAGTTCTGTATCTGCTGCCACTGTCCCATTAATACCGGGGGCTTCTATTTTGCTTACAAGTCTCTTATGTGGCACTTCATCAAATGCCTTTTGAAAATCCATATAAACTACATCAACTGCACTACCTTCATCCACCCTCTCCGTTACTTCATTAAAAATACTCTCTTTGTTAGACACAATTTGCCTTTAACAAATCTGTGTTGGCTGTCCTTTATTAACCCATATTTTTCTAAGTGAACATTTATCTTGTTCCAGATTATAGTCTCTAGAAGTTTCTCCACTACTGACTGGTCTGTAGTTCCCGAGTTTATCCTTCTGCCCCTTTTTGTACAGGGGAGTAACATTTGCAACCCTCCAGTCCTCTGGTACCACCCCAATGTTCAAGCAGGATTGAAAGATTGTGGCCAGAGCCTCCATTATTTCCACCCTTACTTCCCTCAGTAACCTAGGATGCATCCCGTCTGGACCAGGTGATTTATCTACCTTGAGTACCGTCAACCATTTTAGTACCTCCTCTCGGATTATTTTTATCTTATCCAATGTCTACCCTCTCCTCCGATGCTGTGGCATTGGCTGCATCCTTTTCTTTTCTGAAGACAGATAATAATAATAATCCTTGCATTTGATATAGCGCTTTCCACGTCTTCTCAACGTCTCAAAGCACTTCACAGAATATACTGTAAAGTGAATTGACTGTATATTTGTGGGCGAAACGTGGCAGCCAATTGCGCACAGCAGTGTCCCACAAACAGTCATGGATTGAAAATGACCAATTTATTATTGTTTTTGGTTTTGGAGGGATTATTATTAGGCTCTGTGTGGAGTAAGGAAACTTGCCCAAGGTTTCGCCCTCTGCCTGGAATTGAACTCAGGTGTCTCGCTTGCAAGGCGAGTGCTCCAACCACTGAGCTACAGGACTCCACAAATGATGCAAAGTACTCATTCAAATAAAGTGAGCTACTGCAGATCACTAGTAGTAGATATTAGTGATGTTACCAGAATGGTTAAGGAGAAAAGACCTGAAGTAATGAATCACAGATTGCAGGAAATATAACACAGAAATCATTGGTTCAAGAGTACTTCTAATTCCCAATATCTTCAGTAGCGCTTTCTGTTAAGGCTGGATTCTCCTGTGTGCTGAAAATATACGTAAAGTTTGCCTTCATTTTCAGAATCCTGCCTTTTTTTCGATAAAGTCTCAGTAATATCCAGAAACTTTATTCCATTTGGTCAAGTTGAGCTGGAAACTGATGACATTTGGGGAGCTTCATCATCCATTCAGTGTGATAATTTTGAATTACAGATCAAAGCACTGATTACACCCAGACTCTATTGCCTGAAGTTCAAGAAGATTTTAGAATATATCAGTTGTCTTTCAGAAGTTTATATCGTGCATGGTCACACATCAAAAGATCACAAGATTGTTTGGTTGAAGAAGGACCTTTGGCCTTTACAATCTCCTCATTCCAGAATTATGTCCCCCCATCATTGGATTGCCTTAGCCTCAACCTCCCTTTCTGGAAACCTGCTCCAGTTATTAATTAGCTTCATCTGAAGAACTTGAGAATTATAACTGTTTATCTGCCATCGATGAGTAGTTTATTCATTTTCAAATTTTAACTGACTCAATCACTTTTTCATTTTATAATATGATGGTAGTCTTGAGAGGTTGAAGAGCTGAATGGACACACCAGGATTTGAACCTAGAATCCTCTGGTTCTAAGTGACTTTGCCTTGTCTAACCCGTTGTTTAAATATTAAATCAACTTGGTTTATTCTGAAAATTTCTGATTGACATTTAAGTGGCACTTTTTCTGAAATGTAGACTATTTAATTGTTGTGATTATGTTTTGTTAGTGTTAAAGTTGCTGTTCTGAGAATGCGACAATGTGAAGGGATTATATGATGTTAAATAAACTAGGAATTTGTTTTTATACTTAATTTAGCTGTGTAAGTATGAGAGGGTCAAAATTCCTGGATACTAAACAGATGAAGAATTTGTCTTCATTCCCTGAATGTGTTACTACTGCAATTTATGCCTTGTCTTTCATTAGGAACTCCGGGAGGTTCTAAATGAACACGATTGGTCCTATTGGGAAGCCCTGGAAGCCTTGCAAGTGTTTGCCAATCAAGGTAAGACTTTCTCACAACTGTGTCTTTCTAAGCAGCTGCTTTTGCTTAATAAACTATTAAAAAAGAAGAATTTTTCATTTTTCAAAATATTTTGCAGTAATAATTTCAATGTATTTGCTTCTGCGATCGGTTTCTGCTTGCAGTCAAATCAGTGAAATATTTCAGCCCAAAATTGTTGCATTATGTTTTTTGACATAGAGGATAATCACTTATCTAAATCTCCGTAAAGCCAGAACTTCCCTCCTAATTTTATCATTCTGTAGATTCGTACGTTTAACCTTTTTTTAAACATCCAGATGATTTAATAATTCCAATTTATTCAATGAAAATAAACTGAGGGGAGCTTTGGCGTGGGATTCTATACTGGGAACTGTGATTACATACTGCTACCTCACACACTATAATATTTTCATTTGTAATGAAAAGTACAATACTTATTTCAGGACCTTGAAGAGGACCTACGTTCAACAACTCATGCAATGTTGAAGTATCTTCTACAAAAATAACGTAGAAAAAAAAAAAGTAGAGACCATTCAGAGAATCGTAGAATTGTAAAAATCTACAGCACAGAAGAAGGCCCATCGAGTGTGCCCCAGTTCTGAGCAAGTTTCATTCAGTCCCACTACCCTGCCCTATCCTCATACCCCCTTCGAGCCTCTGGCATTCATATACCTCAACTTCATGAAACCCATAATGAACTCTGCAGACACCCCTTCAATTTCACATCCTTCTCATCAACAATCCATCACCTGGCATATGTTTGTATGGAATATCGCAGAAGCTACAGGGAGCAATGCTCAAACAAATTGCTTTGTTCCTGGAAGCATTTTTTTAAACAAAAAAAGCCAGGTACTATGCAAAAAGATTGTCAGCCTGACCCAGTGGCAACACTCTCACCTCTTGAGTCAGATGGTTGTGAGATCAAGCCCCATGTCGGAACTCGCAATCTGATCGTCTTAGCTGACGCTCCAATGCGGTGCGGGTGGGGGTGTTGCATTGTTGGAGATGACGTCCTTCAGAGGAGATGTTAAACTGAGTTTCCTTCTGTCCATGGCACTATTTGAAAAGAGAAGGGAGTTTCTCCCGGGGTGTTCTGGCCAACAATTCCCCCATATAAAAATTGGTCGTTCATGGCTGCTTGAGGGATATTGGCTGTTTATGCGTTTGCTCACAAATACACAGTCCCTCCGCTTCACAGTAAATCCTGAGGTTTGGAATGACCACCTGATGTGAAAGGTGCTATACCACGGGCAAGTATTATTATCCTGGGGAAATCCAAAAATTCTTTGCACTGTATTTGCTTTTGAATTGAAATCACGCTTAAAGTGATACATTCTACAGCGGTGTTCTTAATAAACTTATTCATTGTTGCAATTGCTTGCAAATACACCAACTTCCCACATATATAATCTTAACGTTGCAACAAAAATATTGCAATGAATTTTAAGCTTTTTTTCTTCCCCTCATCAAAAAGATAACCTACATCCTGTTTGCAAAATCGCAATAGTGTTGCCCTTCATAAACAGGAATGTAGTGGGTTGGGTGATGCAAGTTTGCGATTCAGTGAAGAGGAATAACATTTCTTTCTTTTCCTGAGGGAGGTGATTCTTGCTGAGGTGCGTTGCATAGACGTAAATGGGTGGTTTTGGGAGCCTTGCCAGGCTTTTTTACTTTGACATCACAGCCAAACACCACCTGCACACAATGTACAATGGAATTCACTCGTTACTTCTGTGACATCCTCAGCCAGTTTTGCTTCCACTGTTTCCACCACTGTAAACACAGTTGAGATTTCAAACCTTGGTGGGGTTTTTGTGGTCAATGTAGCTTACCATATGGTATATCCACTGAGCTGCCAGGCAAACGTATAACTTTTTAAAGAGTCTGAAAACTGTTCCTTTGCTGTAAGGGTGCCCAAACCAACTGAAGAACAGATATTCATTTAGTTTTCAAAATGTAATGCAGCATAAAGTCTCTTAATAGACTACATTTTCAGGCTTTTGGTAATGCAGCTATTTCTAGTACAGAATGAATTGCATAAGGTAAATGTACAAAAGTATCTACTGTAAGTAGCTTCTACAAAAAGCATTTGTAAATGTTCTTCGGATCTTAAGCGAACAATGCTATTATAGCTGATAATCTGTGCATTTCAGTTAGCACTTTTACAATCATTTTTTGATTCTCTTTAAACATTATACAGCATTGCCCGAAAGACCCAAACCGACTTGTGAACATACTGAACTGTCATATTTTTGTTTTATGACAGTCCACGTTCACTATCCAGACACATTTAAATACTCTTGTCTCATTGGCTTGAAACAATATGATTCTTTCAGATCCAGTTTTAGTTTTTAGTTTGCGGCAATATTTAAGTAACCTTTGTACAAACTAGTTTCAAAGAGTGCAAAGTTATTTGCTTTTTTTAAGTCTACTAGGAGACTTAGTGCTGCATTGAATTTGGGAAACTGAAGTAATATTCGTCTTTAGTTGGTTTGGAAATTCTTACTTGCTCTTGTTGTTCATTTAAAAGGTATCCAAGTCAACACTTTGAATCCAAGTCAACAGCCTCACTGTACTCTGGAAAAATAACTCCTGTAGAATTTACTACAACCATTCTTGATGTGAAAAGCTTTGCTTGAATCCCACTGTATATTAGAATGGGTTTTTGTTTGTTATGGATCTTTATCTTCTCTTCTGAACTCTAAATTATAAGATTAACCTTGAACTTAATTTTCTTGAACCATTCTCAAGTCTGATACAGAGAACATGGTAAGTTTGAAAGAAATGGTAGAACTTGGTGAAGTAAAAATATTAATGTAACATTTTTTTCCAACGCAGCAATCTGATAAAGATGAGATAGCAGGCAGTTGTTGACTAGTTTAAGGCTTTGGGTTCCAAAAGCAAAAATATGCTTGATTTTCATGTGTTGGTTTTCAAATTTTAGAAACTCAAAAAATGTTGGAAGGATTCATCAATTGCTAGTCTTATTTTTTTTTAAATTTGGGTTTTGTTGCTCCACTTCTTTTAAGATTTGAGACCACAATATACCCTAATAGCATCGCTACTTCTTGCTTTTAAGAAGATAAGATTAACAATGAACATCTTACTTCAATGATTTTGAGATGTAAAGTAAACTTATTCTGGGTTTTACTTTCTCAGTGTTCCAAACTTGTTTGTATTTAATTTTTTTTATATCTTCAGAAGATGAAGTGCCTTCTGAATCAGAAGCTAAAAACATAAATGGAAACGAGATCACCTCAAACTTTAAAAAGCAGCCAAAAGAGATGCCACTTATGCAATTGAAACAAACTCCTGCAGCAGAAGAGCAGAATGGTAAAATAAAAAAACACGACAAAAGTAGAAAAGGTGGCAGAATCATTCAAAGAGAAACCAGCGATTCCGAAGATTCAGAACCCCTTTCTTCTGATGGTGACAGTTCACTTGACGAGGACTACAGCAGTGCAGATGAAGAGGTGGAAGGTGTATGCAGGACTAAAATTGTCAGCTTCCTGCAGGATGCTACACTGGATGAACTTACACTGATACCTCAATGTTCTTTGCGAAAGGCTCAGAAGATCACGGAGCTCCGGCCCTTTAACAATTGGGAGACATTGGTGAGCCTGCTTTTTTTTTTGAAAAAAATAATCCCCAAATCATTAAATAACCAACATTTATTGCACATAGGGAGACTTTAAAGGATGACCTTCATGTGATGAGATTCAAACATTACACTCATTCTGAACCAATAGCATTTGAAATAAGGATCATATGACCTTACTTTGAATACTATATGGGATGATTTTTACTTAAAAAGCCAAGCTGATTGGCTGGTAATCTGTCACTCATTCTGGTAACAGAGAAACTATATATGTATGTGGCTGAAGTGGGTGAAAGAAGAAGTGGCATTAAGGTATGAGGTGCTTGCAACCCAGTTCTTTGCTGTTTCAGCTCCAAAAATTGCAGAAGAAAAGCATGGGCTATGTTTTATTGCTATTTCAAAGTCTGAGTATGGACAGAAACCTTCCTGGGCAACAATATGGCTCAAGAAGCAGTCAATGATATTTTTGGCACCTTCTAGGAGGAACAGTTGTTTTTATGTTGAATTTTTTTTGAGCATTGTATTGATGGAAAAAGGATGGCTTTTGCAGTCAGGTTGCAAGGTTTCTACTGGTTATAGCCAGTTCACAGAAAATATCCTGGAAACCCAACGTTTAGAGAAAGTAAATTCTTAAGACATAGAGCCTGCAGGAATGAGAAAGCTTCAGTGGTAAGTAGCCATTTTACCTTTACAATCACTGTTCTGTTAATCCTTAAAAAAATGGCGAATCTGTTGTGAATTCCTCTAGAAATCTTGCAGGATGATAAATATTGTATGGTATATCAACTATTTAATTTAAACATTTGAGACTGGTTTGATTGTTCTTAAGCAATATTTTATGCAGTTATACAGGCCTCTGCTTCTTTGTCTAAATTAAATAATTTCAAATGTCTGTGGGTAACTGAAGCTTTTATTTTGCATTTTTTTAAAATCCAAAGAGTAAAAGAAGAAACGCAATCTACTGTTGGTTGCAAAAGAGACTTAGAAATCCGGTAAGCTTTTTTTTTAAAAAGGAAAAAAAGCCGTAAGATACAATCCAGGAGAAACATGTCAAGTATGTTGTTTTCAAACTTGTTTAAATTTGTTTCTAGCGGTTTTGATTGATGGCCCAAAGATTGCTCAATGCAACATAAGAACTTTTTTGTCGATTAAATTTTAAACAAATTTTTAAAAATGTGCAGTACAGTACAGTCAGCAACCTCACCCACATTTCAGATGCTGTTGCAGCTTGTCTAATCTAAATTGACAGTTTTATTACTTGTTCTTTGGCAGCTGCCAAGCATTCATGACTGAACATGAACTTTCTTCCCCTTTCTTGTATTTTTTTAGCAATTTGTCTTGCCAAAATTATGTGTCTGTATTACATAAAAAAAACTTCAAACAAGTCGTTTACATACTTAACCTATGAAACTAACAATGTGTTTGGATTTTATTTGACTGCAAAGCAACTATTAGAGTAGAGGGTTACTATGGAGAGTTTTTTGTATTTCTCCTGTAAACAAAGTGGACCACCATTACTTAAACCTTTATACGCCTTTACTTTTGTTAGAGCACTTGCCTCGCAAGCGAGAGACCTGGGTTTGATTCCCGACAGGGCGACACGTTGGGCAAGTTTCCATACTCTACATGCTGATAATGATCCCTCCAGAAAAAAAATAATAAATTGGTCACTTCAAGCCACGACTGTTTGTGGGACACTGTTGTGTGCAATTGGCTGCTGCGTTTCGCCCACAAACATAGTCAATTCACTTTACAATATCTTCTGTGAAGCGCTTTGAGATGTCTAAAAGATGTGAAAAAGCACGATATCAAATGCAAGGATTATTATTATTATTGAACTACCTTTACTTAAAATATTAGAGATTGAAAATGCGAATGAGGTTTAGGAATGTTAATTGGGAGAAAATAAATGTGAAACTCTGTAATATTATGAGCCTAAGGTAGTCTAAAAACAGATGAAATGGCCACCTAGTTATCTTGATTGCAGCTGATTTTCTGATTAATCAAAGAAAACAAGCAGGAATGGTTTCATAGAATGCTAGTTACATGAAAGCAGCAAACGTGTCAAAAAGTGAACAAATTCAAGTTTTTTCTTCAAGATTAAATTTCCCTCCAAATTGTATACATATTTAACAAACAATCTGTTTCAATTTTCTTTGAGTACTTGGCTATAATATGAAACTGTTAGAGTGCTGCTTTTGAAGTGATACTTTGAAGTTTATTTAAAATGTGTTTTTCAGAAAATAGCTTGCACCACTTGATTGCGCTATGTGGTTGTGCTGATGTATGAAATGCTGACATTAGGGAAAATTGGTTAGAAAAGCAAGCAAGAGATATATTATCTGATTTCATTGTATAGAGATCTTCAAAACTTCACAATCTTTTAGTATTGAATTGACTTTGTTTGAAGAAGGAGTTAATTGCATTCTACAGTTCTTTATTCAAAATGGGACATTTATTTCACAAGTTGGATCTTGCAAGACAGGAATTCAAATAAAGGGTTTTCCTGGAATTGGGAGATTTGTTCAGGCAGGTTGAGAACATAATGTTTGCAATCGAAGCGATTATTAAATTATAGACCAATAATTATATGTACCACGGGAAAACGGACAAATAGTGAGGTCATTTACAAAGCTTTTAGAACAAAATTTTAAGTATTTTAATTGAAGGCGACTAAGGTGTTAGTGTACAAGTCTGGTCAGAGTTGAGAATTCCAAAGGGGATATTTTTACATTTGCGACATTTGTACGCTTTGCAAGCATGGATCTACAAAACGCCGGTTGGGTGTGTACACATGAGTATGCTTGCAGCTGCTTTCTGAAATGCATTGTATTGCTTGAAGCCATATTCCAGCAGTGGCTTGAATTTTAATAAGACAAGCTCACATTGTTGTCATAATATTATTTAGTGGTGCCAAAAATGCAAGTTTTTCTGGATTGGGGTATCTGTTTTACAATATCATGGAAGGAATTCATTGAATCGCTAAATGTCTTAACTGTTTTCCTGTGTAAAATACTATGTTGATTCAATAGTGGCACCTCAACCAGAATAGGAAGTCTTCAAGAACAAAAGATTTAAGCTGACTCGGGCTTCCTCAAAGTCCAGTTAGCCACCTCAGATCCTGCACATGTACTATAGAGATACTACAACTTGGAGCCCAACATTGAAACTGATATGGAAAAGAAAGGAGAATTGTAGCTGTTCTTTTGTGGCCCAGGTTGTGCCTGTGAGCCTGCACCAAGGGTTGGCAATTAAAAATGCGTTAAGTGACATTGCAGGTAATTTCCTGGTTCTGGGTCCAATAGACAGTACAGTAAGACCGTCCTCGGCAATTTGCAGTAAAATGGAAAGAAGTCACCAAAGATGCAGAGTTCTTAAAGCAAATAAGTCTAGATTGTCCTTTGGACTCTTGTTTTTGCAGGATTCTTTACTCAGACCAGATGAGGGATCCTTGGCTGGTTACTGTTGGCTTCGGAAATAAGAAAACCTACTGGCCTTGATAAATATCTAGCAAGTTAGTGTGGCAGGATTGGCCATGGCGTGGCCCTCCAATAGAGGCCTCTGCAGCTGAGCATGAGTGCTCGCATGAGTCACAGAACCCCCTTGTGGCCAGGGAGGACCTATGACTAACTTGCCACTATGGATAACTTATCACTGTGCTCTTTGTTCTTGGAGTGAGAGTTATCTGGACTTAGAAGAGTATAAAACCTGGTTCTCGTGGTGGTGAATAACCCTTACATTTGGTACAGTATGTTTCACGATGGGAGGATGTCTCAAGGTGCTTCACAGATGTAAAGTACAGGAGAAACTTCCTTCACTTTTGGAATAGTGCCACGGAATCTTTAATATCGACTTGAGCAGGCAGAAGAAACCTCCGTTTAACTTCTTATTCGCAGGAGTGGTACCTCAAACAATGAACTGCACCGGAGTGTCAGCCTAGACATTGAGTTCAAAATCCCGTTGTGGGGCCTGAACACACAACCTTCTGACTCGGAGGCAAGAGTGTTACTAACTGATCCAGGTTGACATACTCGATGCTGAGGATTGAAAATGAGTGAATGTGGTGGCCATGTTTTTTAAAAAAAAAGGTGTTTGAGCCATACTATAGATTGAGCTATAAGATCAATTCATGACAATTTCTGAAATTTCAGTGATTGCTCCCCACTATCAATGTATTAACGAAGAAACTTGATCCATACGTGAGGGAGAATGGAATAAAAGGTTCAGGAGAGGGAATTGGGAGAGATGGAGGCTCATGTGGAGTATAAACACTAGTTGGGCTAAATTGCTTGTTTTTTGCTGTAGTAATTTTCTTTACACGTTTCTATGACTCTGCACAACCATTGGCTGAACTCCTTGATATTTAGGCGACGGTGGCCATTTGATTTAGCTTACGAGAGTTAAGTTAAACTAAGCATGATCATCATCCACGTTTTGCCAGAAAATATTGCGTTCACTTAAAAGGTTTTGTACTTCTCAAGATAGTATGATTGCTCTTTTTCTTTTTCTCCCACCATTTCTTGTATGAGTTCCTGCAAAACCACAGTGGTAACAATTTTGAAATCTTACAAGTAAATTTCTCCCAGATGTGACGCAACTTTCTCCAATTCAAAATTGAGAACACCAAGGCTATTCTGCTTAGCCCTAGTCGGTAGCTCTAACTTCAGGTGCTGACTATATTGACCTCCCAGGTTCCTTTCAGCCACTCCCCAGCTCTCTGCTTGGGTTCCTGTTCAGTCTTTGTAAAGTCTTTTGAGATGTTGTCCTAACATAAAAGGCATTATAAGTGTAAATTGTAGATTTTGGGTGGCTAATCAAAGTGTCATTCTACAGGTTTTTTTCTGTGTAACATAGTTCTTCCTACTCGTTCTGTTTGATTTGTGGATGACAGATTTTCACTGAACTGTACCGAATAAGCTACAAATGGCACATAAAATACAAAGGGTACTTTTTCTTCTAATTCTTCTAATTGAAAAAAACAAATGAGTTCAGAAAGAGATGCTAAAAGTCTAATAC